AGGACAGAATAGAACATGAAGTAATTAGCAGGGGCTGTGATTACAGAGCTGGCCTCCTCGGTCTGCAAGTGTGGTAATGGAGGAGGCGGGAAATGTAATGGCAGGCTACTGGAATGACACAGCAAATAGGGAATGGCTGTTGCCTCTGCCACTAGAGCTATTTGGGGAACCAAATTTAGGTAGCAGGTGGAAGGCAGAAGGCAATGAAAAAAACATCCTTTATGCTGCACACAAGAGCTGTGGATCTCCTTGCCACCAAGTGCAGTAGAATCTTTTATGGGTTCACCAGGGTTTTGGAGAGGCTGATTGTAGAGAATTGTATTAATGACTACTGGACATACAGGAGCATTTACAGTTCCTCCGATTCAGAGTTCTTGAAACTGGGACTGTATGTTAGGAACTGTTGCTGCATGTTTGCTCTGTTCCCATGCACTTCCCTGTGCACCTTTTGGCTGTTGCAGGTACAGTGTGCTTCTTAAGCCTTCCAGGACAAGCATAGGATATGTCTTTCATGTACTAACTGTTGGAAATCTCTTTGTTAAATTGGAGGGAGGAAGGGAGAGAAGGAAGGAAGGGAGGGAAGGAAGGAATGAAGGAAGGAAGGAAGGGAGGGAGGGAGGGAGGGAGGAAGGAAAAGGAGGGAGCTATCCTAAGTGCTGAAGTTATGTCATTTAGAAAGTGCTGTAATACCACAGTGTTGACTGTCATATATCTGTCAGTGTAGACAGGTCTGCTATCAGATACCTTAGAAGTGACCTGTTTGACTGCTGTGAGGAGCTATTGAAAGGGCAGCTATTAGGGAGCTTAGTATGAAACCAAAACCCAGAGCAGTCTTACATCAAGAGTATTATATTGCAGAGGTTGTCACTGCAGTTCTAATTGGCTAAAATTTACCATGACTTATTCTCCAGGCAAACAAATTAACTTGCAGTTGAACAGATTTCTTTGTCCATAATTTGGTTTAATACCTGATGAAAACAGTTGATTAAAACATGATTTACCGGGTTACTGTATCTGATTTGTATCTTTGAACTAATAGGAATATGTGCCAATGCAAAATCAGGGGCGGGCTGCAGAGAAAATAGATAGAACTCTGTAGAGTGCAGCTGTGGTTTTGTGGAAGGGGAGGAGGAGGAGGAGGAGGAGAAGCTTCAGAGAGTCTCTGGCAAGGTTGTCAAGGTTACAGATACTGTTGCTTCTGTAGGTGAGTGGCTTGGGCATTCTCTGTTGATAATTGGTATCAGCTGTTCTCTTCTGAGATAACAGAATTTGCATTTTAATTGAATTGTTGCATTTATCAACACTAAAGTATAAAACATAAGTCACGAAGCTTTGCAAAGTATCAGCATAAGGAATTTGGGAGATGGGAAAAAAAGAGTAGAATTGGTGCATTTACCTGGATAACACTTATAAACTTTTTAAAATATGTAAGAAATGAGACTCTGGTTATAAATTAACCACCAGATAGGCTCTCCTGATTGATTACATCCCAGCACAAATGCTGTTTTGGAAGCTGTGATTCACTGTTTTGAACATTTCAAGCACTCCAATCTGGCGCTCAGTGTGACAACACAAGGCTTGCAGTCAGTTCGCTGCTTTAAGGCATTGCTGAGACAGCAGCAGCAGCAATGCTTTAGCCCTGGAAAAGGAATCTCCACGGCTACCAGTGTGGTATGGCTCAAACAGAGTCTGACAGCGTCAGGACATACTTTAGGAAAACAAATGATGTCATGGTAGATTTCAAACTGTGCTTGGAATTGGTACAATATGTCATATTGAATTTTCTGCCAGGTTTAAGAGTGATACGGTAAGATCTTAATTCACCGCAAAGATGTGCAGCACTACTACCTTCCTTAGAGCTATATGAACATACTCAGTTAGGGATGTGGCCCAGGACATTTGTGCAGTAGATGAAATAGGCTCCAACAAGCCACTGCTGCTCGAGGATGCACAGACACAAGATGTCACTGCAGTGGTGTCACTGCAGGTTGGCAGAGAGCAGGCGGCCTGCTTTGTAGGCAACAGAGAGGAGCTGCACTCTGCAACTCCTCCTTGCACCAGTAACATCCAGCCAGAAAATCCACCAACACTTTCACATTAGAGCAGCCCCCCGCTTACTTTGAAATGCTTTTCATGTGCAAAGTGAGATAATTTGGATAACTATTTAAGAACTCACAAAATATCTCGCCCTTTGTGACAGGAAGCTGGAAATCCCACTAAATCTATATGAACTGCACAATTTTAAGTAAAGCAGAAGTTCCAGCAAATGCCATGCCTTTCAGGCAGTGTATCCACTCTGAGTTTGGAGGAGACACCACTTTCTGTTTTCCTCCTAAAGGAGAGTGAGGAAATGGCACTTTCTGGTATAAAACCACCCTTCCTGTGCCCACTCAACTTCCTTGTCCCACTGCCCCTTAAAATCCTCAATTTCTCAGTTTCCCCTCCAAGGAAGAAGGAGAATGGCATCAGTTACTTGTTCGTTAGCACAATACCCATGATGGACAGCTCCCCACACTCCATTGCCTTCCCCCATGACACAAGGACAGGAGAGGCTAGGGTGGAAGAAGAGGTCTTAGGATCTGGAGAAACAATGAAAGGAGAGCTGGGGAACTGTTTTCAGTGTTGAATACTGTATTGTAGTGGCATTTACTGTGGGGTGTTGCTGTAATACAGTCAGTTCAGCCTCTTCATTGGTGACCTTACCTGTCGCGTTAACCAGGATGTTGTGCACACACAAAGGAAAAGATAAGGCAGGGATGGGAGTTGACTACTGCCAGTTTTAGTACTAGGTAGCATTTGCAGTGACAGTAATGAGGGGTGCAAATGCAGAATCAGGAAATGGCTGATTTTCCATAGAACAGTTGCATGAGACTTGCTCAACAACATGCTTTGTTGCTGTCATTTGGTTTTGTCAGGCAGTCTTCTCAGACAGATGGCTTTGCCATTCTGTAGGTTTCTCAACAGAAGCATTTCCCCCATATTAAATAGTTTAACAGTTTAGGATGAACTTGTTCTCTTTACATTTAATAACTTTCTGATTTAAGTAAGATTAGTCACGCATGGCACTGAAGTACTGTTGTAGTGAATGGAAGCATTTGCACTCTGAATTCTAGTGAATTACATTACATATGTTGCACAGTTTTTATTTTGTTTTCTGTCTGGTTTTTATAATCAAATATAGCCTGTAACATCGATTTTTCCAGAATGAATTAAAACCTGTATATGGGATTGTCATCACGTTTTTCTCATGTTTTTTAAATAGTGGTCAAATTTCAAGTGGTCTTCCAGGTCTCATGGAGAATTTCTTCATGGAAAGTGGATTCTACTTTTAATATTTTAACTCTTTATATCATGCAGCTTTCTATATCAAAAAGCTATTACGAGCCAGTATGTAAAACACTCAGGTATCTTCCTAAAGTGAGGATGGACCCATTTTGGGATGAAAGTTTACCATGCCCAAAAGAATAGTGTATTTAACTGATACAGAGCTATGCAGCTTACAGTGGAATTCTCTCAAAATTCCATGGAGAATGGCATAGTCAGTAATTGCTTTATCTCAGTTGTGAGCATGACAGTGCCCCATGTGCAGAGGTATCTAGCAGCTCATCCTTCTCCTGCACTGCTCAGGTCCTCTTTCCTACTTAGTGTGCTGTAGGGACAGGCTGAGGGTTGGGCAAGCACAAGAGCATGCTAGGGTAGTAATGCAGGTAACTTTACATGAGATGTGTGGAGAAAGACTTGGGGGTCCCGGTGGACAAGAAGCTGGACAAGAGCCATCCAACTGCTTGTTGGCTGCTATATCAGTGCATGAATGCACAGTCTGAACCAGAGATACAACTATTAAATTTGATTTGTGAACTATTTGAGTTGTGCTTTAAAATGTGGAGCTAGCACCGACCTCCCGTTTTCAGAGAAAATGCTTTAATAAAAGTGTGTGGCTTAGTTCCTACAGCAGATTTCTGGGGGTGGAAGATTAAACTTCACCTGTGATCAATTTACTGGCGTGGCAGACAGGCTGGCAGTTGATTGCCAGAGCTTTCTATCGGGATTTCAGCTGCATCACAATATCAAAACAGATGGGAACACGCTGTCCCACGCTGCACATCCCACCTGGTGGGTGGTGGCACACAACGCTGCAGGATAACCAGTTCTGTGCTCTCAGTGAATAGCGGGCCCAGTCATGTTGAGAACATAAGTAACAGGAGGTGATTGGTAGGGTTTAGTGCTGCTTTACAAAAGTGTGTGGATATTCAAGGCAGAAATAGATACTTCTTTTTAACAGAGCTGTAGATAATGCAGCATGCACAGCCTTCTGCAGCGGAGAGATGTGAGAATGTCACCTTTTGAAAGAATCAGATTAGTGCTGTGAACTTAGTGCCGGTGGCTTGTTCTCCTGCCTCCTCCTTGGAAATGAAGTCATTTCAATGTACTACAAAAAGGACGTTTGTAGACTTGCTGACTTATATAAAATGGAATACTTCATTCTGTACATGAAAAGAGACTTTGTTCAGAAAAGGCTGGTACTTCTACATCCTGGAATTTCTCATGAAATGAAAAATAAACTAATCCGATACTTTGACTACTACACGAAATGCAGTGTATGCTTCCAATGGAGAACTGATCACATTTACAATCTGCTCCCTAATAGCACTTTTTCATCATTGATGACCAGGTTTTCCTCTTGCTTAAATCTGTTTTCGGCAGTCTGACCAGTCTGTGCCTGTCATAGCTGTGTTCACACAAGGGATGTATCTCACCCTCACTTGCAGAGGGCAGGGCAGCCCCTGCTGAAACCAGAAGAAAATCAGAATCCAGTGTAGAAGGCAAGGCTCCTTTCCTCTTTGCCTCTTTTATGTTTTGTGCACAACGATCCTGTTTGTTAACTGTGCCCGGTGTTACTGACTTTGTGTTAAGATTTTCAGTGCTGGAGACTAAAACTGAATTGTGTTGGATTATGGTTTGCTGTGGGTATCACGTAATGAACTCTTTCCTTTCTTTAGGTCCAAACTGCTTTGCAGAAACCACTGTCATTCCTGCAGGCCGAGAGGTGAAGACTGACGAATGCACTATATGTCACTGCACTTACGAAGAAGGCACGTGGAGAATTGAACGACAAGCTATGTGCACTAGACATGAATGCAAACAAATATAGGAAATCTACCAGTCCAAGAACTCTCATGGTTTTTATAAACTATCTCACAGCAGTGAGCACTGTGGATGACCCAGGGAAATCGGAATGAGAAGATTCTGGTGAGGAGCAAATTGACTATGGATACTTTGTTTTTCACAGTCACGTAATTCTGCAAGGCAAAGCAGTGCGTATATTTAAATAAAGTTTGGACATAAGAATACTTGTCTTAATAAATGTGTTATTTTCACAGTGAGTACACTAAAATACACTCTATAAAATATTCTATGTATTTCTATAATAACATTATAGAGCTTAAAAATAAATGTTTTATATAGACAGTACAGATTAAAGTACTGTATCATTGCCTGTCCTGTTGTGTACATACACATAACTAAACATTACATTTCTATTCTAGTTTTATCATGGTAGAGTTTTCTTTGGGTTCTTGTGTTCAGTATTTTTTTTCCATTTGTTTATTTTCAGTTTAGTGGGCCAAGAAGGAGTCACTATATGATAAAACTTTGACATCCTTGCTGTTGGAAAAAAATGTAGTCCAGTATGCTTTCAGAGAATGCGCTCACTTATGCACTTATGAGTAGTGCTGTAATATAAAAGTGAGTCAGCTCCTTTTCTTAGCTGCACTACTGGTGGCTACTGGTATAGGTCTGGTGGACCACAGCTGAGATCTTGGAGCAGTAATACAAAACTGGTCTTTCTTATCTGTTTTTATAAAACGTTAATTAGACAAAATCAGTTCACAATACAAAGTTCAGACATAACATATTACAGCACGGCAAATGCCTCTGTGACATAAACAATACAGCACTGCTGAGCTGGTGGAAATAGGGTAAGTCAGTGAGTGGCATCATCAATGTAACACGCAGTAGATGCGGAGACGTGTGGATGGGCTGTGGCTGCATACACACATCCTTGGGCAAGACAGAACCATCCCCTAGACCTTGCTGCTTCTGCCTTGCTGGTGCTTGTTCAGCTTTTTGATTCATCTCAATCTGTGTGGCTGTCTGCACAGGTTGAGTAACACTGTGTGTTGACGAGAAATGTTTTGAGCCAGTTCTTTGAATCCATCAAAGGATTTATAGCACAGAAGCTGACTCTGGACACACACGCAGTGAATCACATCTCCCTGCTTCCGATGCTTACAGCCTTTGTTTAGATCCATGTTGGTTTTAATTTAGCTTATCTCCAACTCGTGGACTGCATCTGCTTTGAACACCTGCTAAGACAGTGGCTGAAGAGAACACAAACAAGGGCTTACTTTAAGCTTTTCCTAAAAAAAAAAAATAAATAAATGTGATGAATAAATATTAGAAAATGAATAACACTGATTAATTCCCTTTTACTCCTCACGTCTTACTGCCATGCAGTAACTTGGTTTCCAGGTTTGGATCCATACAAAGTGTGATTTTCTGGTACTGGTGAAGACCATGGAAGTTTTGCCTGTGACTTTAGTCAATTGCAGTTCTCTCTTCCAGTCTGTACTTTGAGTGTGTGTCTGTCTATTGCTGGGACATACTTTCCCCAGAGATGGAATGGAAAAAGAGGAGTGAAAGAAATAAAGAAACCATCTCTTGCACAGACAGTCCTGTGACAGTCAGACATGCCTCACAGAACAGTGGGAGAGGGGAAGACATTATTGATTTGAATAGTTTAAATCACTAAAAAATCCAGTAAATAGCTTTCCCTGAAGTGAATATGCATGTATGTAAACACTGTATGGAGACTGCTGTTCTCCAGTTGCCTGAATTCCTAGCAGGGATGCTAGAAGTATTACAACTGGCTTGTCACTAACTCCGCTGCTGGCTGTGAAGGATGATACAGACTGCAGATTTATTTTGTTTCTTGGAAGAGGAGAGGATGTGTTTTGTCTCTCATTTGTAGCTTCTGCTTCACTGAAGCTTTTGTTAAGCTTTATCATCTTTCTTTGGGCTCGAATTTATGTTCGTTTGGGAAGTTCTCTTTCTTGAAGTACTGATGACAAGGTTAAAGGCTTTTTTATTGCGTCTTCCTAGTGTAACTTTTATAACTATTTTTTATTGCTTTTTTTTTTTTTTTTCAAATGGTATTTTTCATCTCTCAGTCCTGGTACCAACATATTCATGTAATCTTTAGTTTAGCAATAGGTTGGTCCGTTTCCATTAGATACAGATTGTCCTGAACAAATTCATCTTGACAGACAGCTCTTGGATTATTTCTTGAAGACCATATTTTGAGATATAATCTATATTTCTTTCTGTTTGAGATATAACCTTCAAGTCTGCTAAGATGCAATTTCTTTATTTTTTTTACGTAGTGAGATAGAAGTGGATAATCTTTGGACCTTCTTCATGCCAAGGTCACTGGCCAGCTTTGTCCTCTAGTATTATTACGATGAGAGCTTTTTGGCCATTCCTGAGGATGGGCAGATGTCAGCAGCCTCACCCAGCTGTGGAACCAGGGAATACAGGCATTTTGTTGTTATGCCAGGAGGCAAGGCAGCTCATTTACCTACCTACCTCACCCCATTCTGTTCCCAGTGAGACACAGAAGAGAAAAGGAAGAGCAAAAGCGAGGGAATGAGAACTGGAAGAAAAAAAAAAGTGAAAAAACAAGTGATGAAAAGGCAATCATTCATCACCTCCCATAGGTAGATTGAATTCCTAGCCAGTTCTTGAACAAAAAACAATTAATGGACTTAAATATTGCTCTGCTCTGTTTTATTGCTAAATGTGATGTTGTATGGTGTGGAATATCTTTGGTTAGTTTGGGTCATCTGCATGGTTACGACTCTACCCAAACTCTTGCATTCCCCCAATTTACCAGGGAAGCAGATTAAGAAACAGAGAAGGCCCTGCCTGACACTGTGCAAGGTCTGTTCAGGAACAGCTAAAACATCGGTGTGTTATCAGCATCTGTTTGGTTACAAACCTGAAACACAACACCAGACAGGCTACTGTGAAGAATAACCATCCAGCCAGACCCAGTACCCAGTGATACCATCAGCAACCCCGGCACAGAGGCAAATGACCCCCAGAGTCAAACTCCTGGAAGATGATCGCACCAAGCAGTGTGTGGGCCTTTGCAATGGCGTTAGGGAACTATTTCCATCCTGATACATAATGTTATTTTGCACAGATGTGCTTAAAACAGAAACTTTCCTATTTATGGAACTGGAAAACAAAAAAATATGGAAATTAAAAGTTTGGGTTTTTGTTTGGTTGGTTTTTGTTTTTTAAATAGCTAATATAAAATGCAGTTAGAGATCAGTGGTCTTTAAGCATATTTAATCTCTAAGCAAAAAAACCAGCTGCTGTGGTGGCCATGTGTATTTTTCTAAATGTCATGGTTTGGTCAAATAATACATTTATATCTATATCTAACTTTAAAAATAAGAGTAAAGCCATCTGCATCACTTCCAGTAAACCAAATTCAGGAGAACACTGTCCGATCTACTGAGACATATTCTTCTGACAGCAGAAAAAAGAAACCAACATCAAAAAATACTGAAAAGGAAAATAAGACTTGGTGTCTCTCAACAGTCAATTTAGATGCTATTGGGAATTTTATATTTATTTACTAAGCAAGTAAAGTGCACATTGGCAAAGTAAAAAGGTCAGTTAATAAATAAGTAATTGCACAAAATAATGCTAATAGTGGGTTTTGTCTGTTGGATATATTGTCCTAAAGGTGCCATAGTTGGAGCCTACTTACTCACCTGCTCTTAGCTCTAACCCAAATGCTGTTATGAGAGCTGCTCCGAAAGTAATGCCTCCTATTTTATGATGTTGGCCCATGACATCAGAGATTAATGTTGGTGGTCCTTCAATAGAAGTTGAACCTTCCCACCAGTATTCTCTCCATTTTGTTGTCATGTGACAGACGGCAGCAGAGGGTCAGTCTGACAAAATGGCGTCTGACGTGGAAGTGTGGATGAAGCAAAGGGGTGTCATTGAATTCCTCCATACAGAACTAATGGCGCCCACTGACATTTGTTAATGCTTGCTGAATGTTTTCCAAGATGAATCACTGTGAGCACAGTGAGGTGGTAGATGGTGCATTTCAGCAGTGGTGACAGTGACATAAAAGACAAGCCACATTCTGAACAGTCATGCATAGCTGTAACACTGCAAAATGAAGAGCATCTCATCAGCTCATCCTCACCAACCAGTAGATTATGACCAAGAACTGTGCACGGAGCCGAGTATCATCTTCAATACGCTGGAAATGATGGTGGCAACATTGGAATCTCACAAATGAATGCTCACAGAGGAACAGAATGAACACCCTATCCAATTCTATAAGGACCAACTGAACCAATACAAGGCTGAAGGTGACTGTCCTGCATCGCACTGCAGGTGATGAGATGTGGTCACCACTGTGAGCCTGAATCAAAATGCCAGTCCATGGTGTGACAACATGTGACTTCCCCATAGAAAAATAAGTTCAAGATGCTGCCCTCAGCAGGTACAGTGATGTGCATTCTATTTTGTGATAAGAGAGGGATGATCCTTTTGGATTTTCTGGAACCCGATGGAAGCATCTACACAGACTGCTGCATTGTGACACTGACTAAACTGAAGGCTTAAACTTCCAGTCAGGCCAGAGAAGATGACAACTTCTCTCTTGTAAGATGATAATGCCAGGTCCCATGCCAGTCTGAAGCACATAGAGCACACTGCCAATCTTGGCTGAACTGTCCTACCACACTCACTGTATAATCTGAACTTGGCACCTTCTGACTTCCATCTGCTCAGGCTGATGAAAGATGAACCACATGGGCAACATTCTGCTACCAACAATGCCATGATAGCAGCTGTGAAGCAGTGGGCCACCTCCACTGGTGAGGCATTCAGGCCTCATCACTGGTGAAAATGCTTAGCTAATGGTGGTGACTATGTTGAAAAACAGTGTTTTGCAGCTGCGCATTAGCTCTATCAAATAGTTTTATTGTGCTCTTTGTATCTGTTGTTATCTCAATGGAAATAAATAGGGTGGATTACTTTTAGAGTGACCTATGTATGTATCCTACATGAGGAGTTTTTCAACTTTGCAGGTGGTTGTGTCTACGAAAGCTGTATTTTGGGATACAGTGATAGCTCATTAATGATTTTGTATTTGAAGTCTGTTCCTTGAAAAATCTATATTCTTCTCAGATGTTCATATGTAGCTGCATTACCATGAGTATGAGATTTCTGCTTCTACTTCTACTGCTTCTGCTTATTTCCCAGTTGAAGTAATGCCAAATTAATTCTTGGTTTGGCTTTGTCCATTTCTGTAGGAGGGTACTGTACATTAATTTGGCTTTAAACCTGTTTAAGTAGGTGCCTGAAGAGATAATATTCTAGATGGGTTCAGATAATTATAAAATTGCAGTTAGTGTGCAACAGTAATATTGCTACTCATTTAAAACTCAAGAGGGAAGGGCGGTTATTCACCTAACTACTTATGCAAGATTTTAAAGGGAAAATGGGATAAGAAGGAAAGATGTGAGATATGAGGCAGAAAAAGTGAGTGTTACAGCAGGAATGTTAATAAAAGGAAAAACAGAACTACGATGTCATAAAGGTTTTCTACAGGGATATTTTCAAAGCATATCTTAAGGAAAGTAAATGGAAATGTATTTGGACATAAACTGAAATCTATGATATTCTATTTGGAAATGATAAAAAAAAAATCTTGGTGTAAAAGGAGACTGATTATTGGAAGAGATTGCCCTGACAGGTAACAGAGTCTCTGTCCACAAAGATGTTCAAAACCCTGAGTAGTGTGCTCTAGCTGGCCCTTCTGGACAACACTGAAAATTGAAAGCCATGCTGAAATGAAATTTAATTAAGCTCTTAAGCTCCTCAGTACAAATTAAAAGATATGATGAAAGGTTCCTTCACTTTGGAAAACAATCTCTTCTGTTTTCTAATTGTGTAATATGAACTGCACTGTCAAGATTTGTAATATTTGATGTTATTTTTGATGGTAACTTCAGTATTTAAACTTGGATAGCTCCATAATACTTAGGAGGCTTTGACAGATACAGGAAAAGTCCAAACGTATGCTATTTATCAATTACAGACATGCCAAAATTATGTATTAATTAATCAGTAATAAAAAAGCATTAACATAATTAGCAGCACAAAAGCTAATGTTTAAATACAATCAACTTTCAATTTACTAGAAATATTTGTTAATTAAGTTCATTTCTGCCTATTAGCTAATAGTAATCCTATTTCTGTAACGCATAATGGTTTCCTGCTTTTTAAAAATTTTCTGAATTTTAGGAAATACACAGCAAAAAAAAAGCTTTTGTTGAAAATAATATAATAACAAATAGGAAGTCAGTCCTGTTGAAGTAATTATTTAGAGTGTATCTATGGCAAATGTTAAGTTTGCCACCTAGATTTACCAATAATCTTGTTAATTTAGAACTTAGGAAGTTTACCTGCCCCATGTTTATTTGGCAAAAAGGGAAAAATACCACCTATAACACTAAACATTTCAGTTCCAGCAAAATAGAGCACTGCTGCAGACTTTTTAAGTAGAGATTGTAACTTATTGCGAAGAGGTGAATTTATGAAAAGCTTTGAAATTAGAAATGCATATATTAGTTCATAAAAAGTGGGGAAAACAGCAAACTTAAAGAAGATCTAAAATCATGAAATAAAAATAAATTTAAGAAGCAATTAATTTTGACAGTAGAAAAATAAGGAAACCCTTTTTCGTTGGCAATATACACAAAGAAATTTCTTTCTTCTGGCTCCAGCAATAGAAGAGCATAAACTTTAGATAAGACAGCAAGGGGAAATTAGAAGTCCAGTTTAATACTGTTAACAGAGATCAGGATTTCTTTCACATAATGTATACATAATAAAGCACCTGTACTTGACTGCAATCAGTGAATGAGAGAGAACATTTGCAAAGGTTCGTGTGAAGTGCTTTTGTTCATAATAAACAAAATCAAAGGCAAAATTTCATAACACTTATTTTACTTTTTCCTGAATGTCATAAAGGGTGTGCAACCTTTGTGGATTAAAATGAATTTTACTTATCAAGAGGACCAAAATATATCATTTCAGCACTCTGCTAATATGCATATAAATGCCTAGACAAGAAAGTCAGTATTTTAATGTGTATAATACCCCAATTAAAAGTACATCATTTTTATTATTCTCCTTCACAGTACAGATATGACGGTATTAATGCCTTTAATTGTTGGAATGGTTGGAAATTGCCAACCAGAGTGTTGTGGTTTTGATGTACAACAGAAAGGTAGACATATAAATGTAAAAATACTGCTTAATTTATATTTTTACTGCCTTAAAAAGCCTGCATTTATTTCAGAGGGTAATTCTCAAACTAATTTGCTACCCGTACTGTAAGAAGCTCTGTGTGCCTTTATTACTTGTTAGGTTAGGTTTTTTTACCAAAACAAATTTCATATTTTTGGAAATTAATACTGCATAATGTGCTTTCTCTTTAGCCACTGACTCTTCAAACTAATGATAACTAATTTAGTGCTGTCGTGATTGGGAAATTATGAAGATAACATAAGGATGTGCAGTACTCCAACCAAATGTAATGACTTCTCTCATTTGCGGTCCATTTATTTCTTATTACCAAGTGAAAATAAGGACTGGGTAGCCTTCAGTCATTCTATGGACTACAGCTTAACAGAGTTGGATTTCCTGGCTGAGTACTAAATGTTTCTTTTTTAACGTGCTCTTTCTCGCTATTTATTTTCAAGTGGTATTTGATAAAAATAGCTATTTTATATATTCTGCTTGTTACGATGTTTATGCTAATGTTCAACAAATAAGCAGTGTCGTGTTTAAAAGTTACTTCTTAGAAGCAGTACAGTATTTTTAAGTCGTTTTTTGAAAAGAAAATACGCGAAGATGGATGTTTTTAAACCTGAGGTTCATACTTGTGCTTTAAAACACAATTACATGCAAACCCCATTTTTCAGATGGTAAAGGCTAAAAATGACCTACACACATCTAGCTCATAGTCATGCAGCTAAGAGAGGGAATGTATAAATAGGATTTAACACAGAATTATGTTACAGAATACCAATTGAAATGAGGCTACTAATAAGTAACAATAACAAGGATTGCATTAAGCCATTGACTCAATAATTCCTGACTTCTACAAAAGTAAAGAATGAGTGTCATAAAAATTGCCATGGTATTTTATGTTATTGTTTCTTCAGGTAAAAGCGTGTTAGCTGAAACTGCTATCTTTAAAGGTAGAACAGATGCACAATCTAATTGAAATTTTACATTATTTGAAAAGAAGTTTATTATAGTTCACCTTGGAAGAAAGTTTTGTTAATGTTTTTGTACTTGGTGCTATATTGAGCTGTTCAGTACAGTTCTCCTAACCAAAGACTGAACAGGCAGGTAGATGAAAGCTGCTATACAGAGTCCTTACGCTAGTCTATGTCAACAGGAGATGACTGGAACAAAGAACAAACTATGCACAATAGCTCCGCCTTTTTTCTTCTTCTTCTTTTGATTTAAATAGTTAATTATCTTCACTGCTCTTAATCTGGTGGGTAATTACAAAGACCTTAAAAACAAAGTACACCTAAGTGATACAAACTAAAATATACAGATGAATCATTATTTCTTAAGAACAAGTGTATCCTGTTGACGTAACCAGAACAAACTGTACTCAGGTCAATATTTAAATGTTGAAATAAAAATATTTATTAATATTTCCAGGTTAAAATGCATGAGAGCTATTGCAGCTTTGTCAGTCCCTCTGTTGTCAGCACGTCGTTGCTCCGTATATCAAACTGGTGTCGCACTGAAGACAGTGAATTCCATTACTGGGATTGTAAGATCTTGGGCTGCAGATAACTATACGGACACAAAAAAATCAATGAATTTCAATGGTATTAATACAGAACTATTCACATTTGAAATGTCCAGAATACATCTTTATGTATTTGAAAAGAAAAAGATCGTTTATTTTTCCCCAGTATTCTTCTAGTTGATGAAAGCAGAATTTCTGCTATTTGGTTGCATCTCAAACTTATCTTCTACAGCTATCTTCAATTTGGCATATTAGCCTTAGTTTAGGAAAGATCTTTAATGAACAGCATTAGTACTCAGTATGCAGTGGTATTTAAGACATTCCATCCTTTTACAGAGTCTGTGTTTAACTGGTTATTTGATTTTGCCTGGCTTAATAACAACTTCTTAGTCTCTACTGCCCAAACCTTCAGCAGGACTTTCAATATTTGGATTACCTTCGTCTGTTGAGGCTGGCAGGATTCTGTTGACTCTCAGTAGGCTCTTACTAGCTTCCCTAGCATTTTTTTTGCCACTGCTATTGACTGGAAAAGATTTTAGAGGTCTTAGGAAATATAAGCAAGAGGGAATCCTCTGCAGATGGCATCTACACCTTGCATTTTTAGTACATGAATTTAGGCAACTCAAGATGGCTTTACAGGAAAGAGAAAGCTTTACAAATACACATAAGCAAAAGCATCTACTGGTATGCCAGAGGAATAATTATATTCTTTTTGTCAAAGATTATAGATACACTTCTAGGAAATAATACAGATTCTTTCATTTATTTAATTGGAACAAGGTAGCCTTCTATTGCAACAGGATAAAAAGGTTGTCCCACTGTTCTGCAATCTGCTATCTAGGGGACAGCATGAAAAGGATAATGGAACCTTAACTAGGTGACTTGTAGCTTACTTACACGGCTGCTGGGTACTAAATGATATACTCGGAATCCTTTTCTAAGACAGAAAACTCATATCGGTAATAAACCATCACTTTGAAAGTATAAGCATGACATGAAACTAAGTATTATAAAAACAGTAGGGGATACAGAACAGGTAAAACTGAACATCTGCCTGTTTTGATGTATGAAAACCAGAGTAAGTTTTTGTTTATGAATCAAGCAATAGATATACATATTTTTTTTCTCCATGCTCCAGGACCTATGCTACACTCTTTCCAATTCTGTCACATTCTTATTGAGATCGGAAGCTTAGAAACATGTTTCCATATTCCAAAATAGAACTGGCATATATACAGATAACACAATTATCTGAAGTTTGTGATGCATCTGTGGTGATACAATATGGCTGGTGCTAATCTACAACTGATGATTAAGAAATGCATTATAAATGTTTTCAGAAAGGAGAAAAAGAATCAAACTAGTGAACAGCTGGTCAGATTTCTATTCTATGTAAAGATCTCACAAACGAACACATACATGTATGTAGAAAATAATATAACTTGATGTGGCTTTACAGTGAGGACAAATACTTAATCAATCTGAAAGCACCTAGTATGGCAGCACACACAAATTCAATAAACTGCAGAAATCTACAACTAGAAGGAAATTTTGAAAGGATTACAGAATGATGCATAAAGGAGAAATAAGAGTTGGAGAGAAATTGGTAAAGGGATTGCTCTTGGACAAATTTTACTGATTTTTTTTCACTAACAAGATTATCAGAAGTTCTTAACATCAAATAAAGGTACTAATTATGTAAAAGGCACTGGTAAGAGCTGATCTGAAACACCTTGCTAAATTCTAGCCAGCTGTGTGCAAGAAAACTAAACTCAGAATGGGGCATGTGAGATAAAGGTTTGTCAAATGCAGTTGCTTATAAAAGCAGATAAAAAAGTGGTTGACTTTTTCTGAATGTAAGAAAATGTAAGTTAAAGGTCAGTCTCTATACTAGAGCAAATAAATAGAGACTTCCCATGAATTACTTTACATTAGAAGCTGGATCTTCTAACTACAAAGCAACTGAGACCAAAACTTCCAAACAGTTTTAAAATGGACCTTAAATCTCTTAATTTATATCATTAACAGTCATTTAACTCTTAAATGACCTGCTTCTTGCAACTCCAAGTGAAAACAGTGGGCCACCCAAGAAGCTGAACTCTGCTTCGTGGAAATACATTTATCAAAATGCTTCCATGACTGCATGCATGCTTCAAAAAAAAAAAAAAAACAACAAACAAACCAAAAAACGACCAGTCACAGTGAGTATGACTAGCCATGTATCTAAGATACGCAAAGCAATTCTCCCATGCTAATATGGTCTTTTGAGAACTACTCATAAAGTCTGAGACATTGAAAAGAAATGTAGAGAACTTCTAGTAGATAGTTCTAATACTTTGTAGAGGCCATAACCCAAAACATGACCCAAAAGACCGAACTTTTATTTCAGTGAAAGCAATATCAGAAAGAGAAAATGGTTGGAATCTTCTAGGATATACAAAAGCTGTTGCTAAGACTGAGTTGACAGAATTGTTTCCAGATTTGCTGACACATAACAAGAAGTAACAGGAATAAACAAAATCAAGGGAAACCACAAAAATTTCTTGAAATAAAGCTTTCCAATGGTAAGGATTTTGAGTACTAAGTTACATGTCCTTAGAAGTCTGGGGAGTCTATCCTTAGAGGTTTTTAAGATCACGCAGGACACATCTGTCAGTAAAAACTCCTATCTTGCTTTGAGGCAGAATGATGGACTGCTATATAGCAGAGGACTCTTTCATCTATACTGCGCATGATATGATGTTTAGGATTCTGGCAAAGATTAATTATACCAAGAGGTAAATGAAAGAGAAGAGTATATGTCTGAGAATACTGGCAGAATGACATCTGCAGCTATGGGAAGTAGTAAGCAGACATGTTTCAGGACTGTTTTAAGGTACTTCAGATATGACATCTTGCCTCTCTATCTGCCAAAGATGGATCTGTTATCAAGAGCAGAACAGTGATCAGCTTTTTGGTTTGACACTGTGTGTAATATTTCTGTCTAGAGCAGGAGGTATATAAGGTGGTGGCAGCTGAAACAACAGTATTTTCACTACTGATATTAAATGTCCATCAGAGCTAAGACAAAAGTTCTGTTCTGAATAAGAAAAGGAATATAAATTAGTTTAGAATGGACTAAGATACTGCAGGGCAGAAGACCAAAACAAAACATCAGTCTTTACAAAGCAGATAATCCTAAAAGCTTTTCTAAACTTGATTTTCAAGTATTTTTTCTCGAAACTGACACTTTGTATTGCAGTAAATGCACTAAATTTGGTATATATCTTGTCCTTCCTGAAGTTATGTCTTTCTCACAAAGACAAGAAATGGGAAAAAGCAACTGCATATTGAACATTTCCTGTGTCCTACAATTTTAGAATTGTCTCCTTCTGTTGTCTATTTCCTCCAATATTTTAAATACTTATTTTTTAAAGTGTAGTTGATTCTGTTAATAGTCTTTGATAAGTAATCCAGTGTTTCTTTCACCAATTCTATCTCTGTAAAGAATTATCTATGTAAAAATCTTGACCACAGATGTATACTCTGTGCATCTGACTCCTGATGTTCCTTTGAGACTTCAGTCCCAGTATATAGGAATCATATCAATGACTTTTTTTCCAGGGAGAAAAAAAATCTGACAAAGCCATTTAAAACATATATCAGTAAGATTTGTTGAAATAAAACTATTGTAACAGTATTTAATGCTTGTAAGATATAAGAATTTTTTCACTTACCACAACACTCTGGGCAGTCTGGATGCCTGACAGCATTCACTCCATATCCTGGATAGCAACGATCAACCCACACCATTTGCAGTGTACCTTCAATGTAGTATATTTCAGGCAATGGTTCAGAACTTTTCTTCCTAAGTTCTACCTCTTTCTTAAAGAATCTCTCTATGAGGTCCTTTGCCTAAATTGAAACAAGTAAATACTTTTTTTAGAATCAGTGATGCAAAGAGGTCAAAATAGAAGATAAGACCAAGGAATGTGGGTGTGAGTTGAGAGTAAGAATTAAAGGATGTATTTCTAAATCTTTTGATTGTAGCAGGTAGGTGGAATGGAAACAGAAATGTAATCTGACATTCTTTGATACGTTGTCTTAAATTTAGATAAACCTTGCTCAATTAAACCAGTATCTCTAAATGTTCAGGATTATAGAAATACAACCATATAAACTAATTCAGCTTTATATAAACCTGGATTATAGCATTAAAGCTATCCTGCATTGGATATCTGTAGCTCATCAATAGTTTTGCAGATTTCCCTCTTATACAGTACTATTATTTAGGTCCAATTATATTTCATACTTTCCACCCATACTGAATATTTCTGTTCAATAAAAAGAAAATACTACACACACACAAAAATACACACACAAATTACAAAAATGGCAAAAACAAATGTGTTTATGCATTCTTATTTTGATCTTGTCTGCATGAAAAAGATAACCTTGACTATGAGCTTTCCCACAAATGTATTTTTTTTTTCAATGGACAGTATGGAAACTGTTTAATGAGCACTGCATATTTGTGACTCCCTTTCCACTCGTTGAATCCCAAAGGATGATTTACGTACCTGATATTTCTTGACAGTGGATGGATGTAAAATAGTAAAAAGGTGCTTCAAAACAGCATCAAAAAACAACACTATATTGAACACATGTATATATAGATAGAGCACATCTATAATCAACATACTGTGAGGAAGGTGCTTAGAGGTAGGCTACAAAAAAAATCCACTGAAGGTCACAACTGCTTGAGCTTTCCTTTATAAGTTCCTACAGTACTTCAGTCCAGGTTGCAGAACAGTATATTCATGACACACACTGTCCTAGGTGTTCCCCTCCGAGGGAAGAAGGCATGTCTTCCTCCTGTCCTTCCTTTCTCTTTTTCCTTCGCCTTTTAAGAATCTCTGAAGCAAAGTTAACCTGATAAGCAGAAGTTCGACTTCTCTTTCTCTACTGTGAGAGCCAAAATCTTCAAGCAGCTAATATTTTAGCAGATCACAGAACCACTTTCCATCACAAGTGATGGAAAGGCAAGCCATTGCAAAAATATGATGTTTAGTAGTTGCAAGACTTGTCCAAAACCTCCTGATTGTCTTGTTACTCTTCATATTCTTAAAATACATTCCTTAATGCAAACTGATAAGTGTGATCTGCCTTACCCATATGGGCAACAGAATATTGGTAATTTTAGCTAAATTTTATATTCTTTATTAATTTAGAACCACGAAAACTTTAATAATGGTTTATTTACTAACTAAACTATGTTTCATGTTGATATTATGCCATATGAGAGTAGCCTATTATGTTAGTTGCAATTTTATTCCTCTATCTACTTTACCTTGTATAATCTATGAGGTGCATCACAAGGACTTTGCGGACATAGTTTGTCGTTTTCTGTGTCTAAGCAAGTAACTGTAACAAAATACAATCTGTTTACAGAAGAACAAAGTCAATGAAATCAACATTTCTATTTACTTGTTTACAAGATTCTAATAATTTCTGATGCAATTGTTTGGGAATTTCAGATTTCAGATGGCTAACTTGCAACATTTTGAAAACATTAATTTGTCCTCCTATAGACGTTACCACTATGTCAATGTAAGTATATTGCACACACTTAAAAATTTCATGGGAAATCATTTTTATTTGTAAATTCTGATGGCAAGGAAATATGTAATCCTGGATGCTTCGCAGACATATAGATATCCAAGTCCTTTCAAAAAATAAAATAAAATAAAATAAAATAAAATAAAATAAAATAAAATAAAATAAAATAAAATAAGCTACCCTCTCTCTATTTACCTAGATATCATTCTCGTTTTATAAAGACAGATTTAGAAAGAGTCAGCCAGGAATCCTAACAGTTCAACTTTCTGATTGTTCAGATTGAATGGACTCCAGTTTTCTCTCACGAACAACTTCAGCAATATCAATGTTTTTAAAGATTTCCGAATTTCCCCCACTGATCTCTTGCTGTGCACACATTTCAGTCCCATATACTCACACACTCAACCCCTACTATGCTCATAGGAACCTCTATGAGGAACTGAACCAAAGGAAAGTTTTGAGAATGGATTCAACAAAAAATGGTTACACTTTAGTAATCCATTTGCATGAGACCACATTCCTCATTAACTATGACTAGCATGATATGGTGAAGGCCTAAGACATGCTTAAGAAGCTGCTGGCCTACTCTCCAGAACTGGCACTTGATTAATCTGCCATGATAACATTATCTGTTGACATGTTAATTTCACTTCTCTTAAGCTTTACCTACCTCTGTCATAGAAGTAATTCTGAAACACCAAAAGCTGCTTAGAAATCAAAAAGTACTGACACCTCAAGGTGCTGAAGAACATGTAGTTTACCATTGGGTTATATCAAAGTTTAAATCCACCTAAATTTCTAACTGGAGAACTTCTTCTTGATTGTAGAAAAACTTCAAAGTATTGCTTAAACATTTTATAAAGTCTGCACATTGGCTAAATCTCATTTATGTCATCTCAGCAAACCTAGAATTAACCTAAACTAATGAACCTCTTCACATCAGTGCTATCCACTATAAATACCATCTTTAGAGAAACACAACTAATAGTTTCAATGTTTTGGAAAGTGGAAAGTGGAAAACAAAGTGCAACTGATATCCTTTGTTCAGAAATGGATATTTTAAAACTGCATGTCGATATATAGTGACTAATGTAATAATATATATGAAAATATGAAATAATTGAAAACATTAAGCTCAAGAAAACTTTAGATATGTTCTTATCCACATTCAGCTCAGCAACTGAAAACTAGATATCTATTTTAATAACAAAGTTTTCAAGTGAACTACGTATATAGTGAGGCTGTTTTACTTGCTATTTCAATCTTTCATAGCATAATGAATCTAGGACCTTTTTTCAAATGGTCTCAATGTTTAGAAGGAATACTCTCAAAAAAAGTAAAATAACGTCTTCTTTGGACTGACACAGTGTTAAGATTTCTGACTTCCACAACTGATGCATTTAGTGAAAAGCTGTTAATAGAAACATTCTATGAAAATTAGTGTATGTTAAGGCGAAAATGTATTTGTAGCACATTAATTTTATGAGATGGTAACTGAGATACTGTGAGATCATTTATGTATAAAAAGATTTGAATATCAGATATATCAGATATAATGTTTTGTAATTATTATAACATACAATGGCACTCAGTAAGAACACTTAAATATTCTATACCTTAGAGACATTTGACAAAACCACCTGATTATTTGCTTTTAATCGTGATTAAAGGAAACTACAAATACCAAAGTCAACCCAGCATTTTTGTAAATCAGTTTTACCCACTTCTCCTTTGTACTCCTTTTGTTTTTTAAAAAAAATGGAAAAATACTAAATATCCCTCTTTTACTGTTGCCACTTAAAGAAAGAACTGTACTGAGATTCATCTCATTTAACTGCAAACCACATCCATTGAGAAATCTATATATCTGTAATAGCTGACAAGAGGAAAGTCATCCAGGGAGTTATGGAATACAATGCATCACTTTTCTTCCCATGATAAAGTGCAACAAGGAACATGATAAAGTTTTATGATGCAAAATAAAAAAAAAAAACATATTGATCTATGTACAGCTATAAAAAGTTCTGTACTCTAATGAAATAATGTAAAAAACACACTTTTGAGTAGATCATCTTGCTTTTTGTTATGAACAGCAGCTTCATATGCAATACCTTGAAGCATTTCTACAATCAGAGAAATTAAATACATGTAATACTTTCAGCATATAAGCAGTAAGTTCAATTAGTTCAATTCCATAAAACATCTAACCATTCTCTAAATCCAAGACAGATTTTTACCTGAAAATGTAAAGAACATTTCGTTCTGTAGGCCTCCTCTCTGCATTTTTACATGGTGGCATTCTGACTTAATTAACGAAATCTCACATGAAAGGTCAGCAACAAGCTTACTTAGTATCTGAAGCAATGCCTTCCCAAAAGAAGTATTATGAAAACTATTGCAGGGGGCTGCATGGTACTGGACTGTCAATTCATAGTAATACTGAGGATCAGAGTAAGCTGTGGGAAAAAATGCAAATGATGATGAGAAAAATGTATGAAAAAATGAGTTATTCACATGTTTGCAAATAAAATTGTTGATTTAAATTCTTAACTTATAAACAAAATTAATTTGAACTAATTTGAACTAATTTTTAATGATAAATAATGTATTCTGGGCTAGTTAGAAACACTTAAGAGACTTTACAAGTCCATATTCTTAATTATATCCATAGGTTACTTTATGTTTATTACTGGTTGTGTTTTGTTGTTTTTTTTTAAATAACAGTTAACTATAGTAGAAGCATCAAGAATATGAAAGCTAAGAAACATGTTAGAAAACATCCTCTAGTATGTGGTGAAGTATTTCAACTCACACATTATCTTCAGTTATACTAGTGTATTTTATTGTTCTTAGTCAACTATCACAAAGAAATATTTTAAAGGATGTAAAAACTGAATAGAAATTCCTTCTCTGTCAATGTAAGTTCCTGAACAAGCTATCATACAGACATGAAATTTACATTTAAGGAAGAATCAGCTATTTAAACTTTACTGCAAAGCTACATGCACACTTGGGCATCTCTCACAAATATAATGTACTATGAAATGCATGGGTTTAGTTATTTCATGATAAGCACTCTACTTACTATCAGCTAGATATTAATAGAATGTTAAATAAAAAACAGAAGTAGAAAAATGAAAAACAAGGGTCACGGTGTGGGTAGAAACATAGAAATAAAGATGGAGATTTGCAGAGAAGAAAAATGAAGGAATAGAAAGCAAACCAGCAAAAAAATAAAATAAAATCAAGCAAACAAACAAACAAAAAACCTAATAGAATCATAGAACAGTCTGGATTTGAAGAACTTTAAATATGTAGTTCCAAGCCTCCTGCCATAGGCAGGGACACATTCCACTGAACCAGGTTGCTCAAGGCCCCATCCAACCCGGTTCTGAGACACTTCCAGGGATGGGATATCTACAGCTTCTCTGGGCAACCTGTTCCAGTGCCTCATCACCCTCACCCTGTGTAAAGAATTCCTTCCTTTTCTAGTTTAAAACCATTATCATTTTTCCTATCACTACACTCCCTGATAAAGAGTTCCTCTACAGCTTTCCTGTAGTCCCTGTTAAATGCTGGAAGTACAGCATCAAAATATCAAGAATATGGCATCCAATTAAAACAGCTAATTAGATTCTCCACATTGATTTTGCTTCTCCCATTTCCTTTCCCTTGCTGCTGCATATTCTGGATTTTGAATTTGGTATGCAAGTATTTAGATTGGATCCTTACTGAAAAATGTAAGACTGCATTACTGGAAAACTGTAAACTTTCCCATCACAATTGCTTGAAAGAAATTTCTTCCAGTTCTCTCAGACAAGGTAACTGTTAAAGGTTATAGTTATTCTATATCAAAGCTACTAAGGCCAGAGTCAAATTAATTTACATCAGAGGCTAGTCTAGGTTATTGTGCTCTAGCAAGTCTCTAAATGAATACTGGTACACATTTCAAATTTGAGGTCAGACATCATTCCTGCTTAAGGCAATACAAACTCTTAACTAAATCTCCTCAAGAATCAGGGAAGGAAAAGAGATCTAGTAATGAATAAATGACATTGTCTGTATAATATTTCACTTCATCAACCATTCTTAACAGATGGGTATGTAATCATAACAGGAAAGAATAAGCTACCAGTATTGTCATAGATTAATAGAATCACCAAGGTTGGAAAAAGCCTCCAAGATCATCCCATCCAACTGTCAACCTACCACCAATATTTCCCCACTAAACCACATGCCTCAGTACAACATCCAAATGTTTCTTGAACACCTCCAGGGACGGTGACTCCAGCATCTCCCTGGGCAGCCCATTCCAGCCTGACCACTCTTTTAAAGGAGAAATTTTTCCCAACATCCAACCTGAATCTCCCCTGGTGCAACTTGAGGCCATTCCTTCTTGTCCTACCTCTACTTATGCAGGAATTATTTAATTAATTGATTATGTAATTAATTGATACATAATTTACAATTTAAAAACACATTCAATTAATAATTAAGCCATTAACCTTGTGAAATAAATCCATCAGGCTGTGCTAAAATTCATCTCCTAAAGAATAATTTCATTTAAAATTATACTATTTTTACGTTATTAAGGACTATTATCTATTCAATCTGCTGCATTCCACTATGTTTTATGTTTCTTTTTTAAAAAGAACTGTATTCATACATTTCTTAGTCAAAAAGTGACCTTCATTTAAGGCTCTGTAAATGCCATTAAATGAAGTGCCTGGTAGCAACTGCTATTAAAAAAAAATCTATCCAGAGAAACCAAATGTCTTTACCTCTCCAAGTTAAATTTTAAATAAGCATTACTTCTTTATAAGCAGCAACACATATTTAAAAAGAAAATCTTCTTCAAGGTAACAGCACACTTACCAACGTTAATAACTTACCATAAATAAGATATTTTATCGTGAGTCTTTTATCTGGTTGTGCAGCGATAAGCTTATAAACAAGGGAACAAGTGTAAACTCCACTCAGGTCAGATCGGAAGTGTCCAAATATTAAAGTTCCCGTTGGTGATATTTGCACACTGCTATTTTCTGGTAAAATGTAATGAAATAACTTTAGCAGTCAGTATGAGAAAATGCAGTTCTCCCATGTAGCCTGCTTGTGGGATGACATTTGACAAGTGCTTTCCTAACTTGAAGAGTCTTCAGACAGTGACAACATGCCTGAGGACTTCTTAAATAGTAGTTTATCTTGGTAGCTGTCAAAGAAAACCTTAGGAATTACTAGATTAGCACAGATTATAATAGACCTGAAGGTAAAGTTCTCACTTGGATAAAATATTTTGACAACAAATTATTTTGCTTTTTGGAGCCCAAGAAAAAAATCTTTTTAATATTCTAAGTACTTTAGATCTTTTATCTAGGCTATGAAATCTAAGACAATTTGTGTGATGTGAAAAACACATATTTTTTGACTGAAAAAGTGAATCCTAAAGACATGAGATTTATACTGAACACATTTTAGGGTTCTTACTTTAGATCAGTCCTAATCTGGTTTTACAGGCAGAACACGTGTTCTCTCTCAAAGCTAACCCTCCCAATTAGCTTTATTCAAAAGGAATCCAGTTTCTGCACCCAATAACCAGTCCACGATCCGAATAAAATGTGAGCAAAATTAAGCAATTCACTTCAAAGCCACACTCCAATCTAACAAACTACTGTTACTCTGGATGCGTACTGATTTTCCTGCTAGACAATTTTAAGAAAGATATTAACAAAAAGTAGCTTGACCAAAGTGCTTCTTTTCACACACGTGGCAGGAGGGTGTGGGATGACTTTGTTCCTCAAGAATCAATTCAAACATTTAATCAACTCAGTTTTGTCTCATATGTCACTGTGTTTATAAAGACGATGATTCAACTGCTGGTTATTAAAAAAAAAACAAAAAAAGTACTATTAAAAAGACTGAAAGTACAAATTCTCTTACAAGAAATGCTTGGGATTCCATAAAAACTTAGGTTCTCACATTAATGGGACACTGTCATATTTAGGAGGACGAAGAGCTTTTTAATCCAATGATGAACAGGCTGCTGAGTCTATAAGCTAAGATGTCATTTGCCACCGGATGATGAAATAGCCAGCAGATTAATATTGTAAGAAAACCAGCATACATTTAAGAACGTTGTCTGGATCTCTGGCATATTCAGCTGCCCTAGCTGGAGCGCCTTTAAGACATATCACAACCAGATTTGCTATATCTACAAAATCCATTACTAAATTTCAAAGGTGACAAAGAAGTCCAGAAAAGACAAAGCCTGGACGTCCAGTGAAGAGAGATGATCACAAAGATTGTTTTGAAAATGCTGTAATGATTTTAAAAGAAATTTTGTGCAGTCTTTTGTTTTTCATTATTCTTTAGACAACACATACGTGGACTATAACTATTTGTGAACAAAGATTCAAAAAATGGAATTGCTTGTTAATGACTACAAAAAGCAGAGTGTTTACCGCTCCTTGTAAGTTTTTTTTTTTTTGTAGTTATGATGTTCTATGTATATATTTTGACAAATTTGGTGGGCACAAAACACCTTTTTATTGTGTGTGTCAAAGGGTGGTTTGCCTGAAAGATAATTTGATTTTTCTATCACAGTTCGTACATTTATTTTGAAATGTTTTAAGAAGCAGCATTTTCTTACTCTTCCTATGACTGGATTCGTAATTCTACATTCCCATTAATAAGATTATTTTATTTTATATGAACACACTGAGATAAAGAATCATGTAATGCTTATGAATGCTAATTTCTTTCCAGTATGGTGATTCACTATGATAGATATTAGAGACTAACTGGACACACAAAAGCCCATGTGATTTTAACCACTTAAGAGAATTAGACTCATTATAAAAGAAGGCCTGGCAAAAAAAAATTCTCTCGCACAACAAACAGTTCATAAATTAGAAACTTAAGTGTTTGTTTATACTTGACTTGAAAGAAAATCATGTGACAATGTGACAACATCCCTAAGAGACTGGGAACCATCTCTGTGTCTGAAGTTGAAGTCCTTTCATTACTACGTTTTTTCTAAATTTTTTCCTAAAAAAAAATCCTCACATCTCTATAGAAAGCTCTGTCAGGAAAACACACATTCTCTTCTCTTTTTGAAATGGTTTTTGCCCTCCTGCTGCTGATTCTAGCGCACCTAAAGTTTCCACTTTGGAGCCGAGAATCACTGCCTCCCTAGCTTTTTGCTAGTCATCCAAGTCTGGCACAACAACTTGAGATATTTTTGAAGCAGTCTTCAGGAAAAGATTTAAACCTGTCAAATGAAAGTCTGAGGTCTCCATGGTTTTCTCTTCTGCATAGTTAACACTGTCGAAACTGTCATTTCAGTAAGCTGAAGCCAGAGGACTGAAAAGGACAATTTTTGTTATTTGTGAATCAGGAGGCTGCTTTCTGTCTGATCACATTAAGCTCAGGACATACACACATGACAATATATCTGATAATGTGTTTGTCATGCATCACAGACTGGGCATCAAAATATATCATTTATAATGCAGGCCACACAGCTAACCACTACATATTCATTTCAAGAGAGATTAACATTTTCATGGAAAGTGACATAGCCCACAAGCTTAAGTATAAGCAAAAACATCTTTAACTGTGAGGCAAAGAATGCTATAAATTCATCCCCGAGGTTAAGCCTGTTATCAGATTGAGAGCAAAACCAGTGCAGTGTCAGATGCTACACAAACTTGAAATGCTCTACTATGAAGGCTGGCATGTAGCGGATTAAGAATGAAGAGTCACTATGATACCAATAGTACTTCAGATCACACAACAGGAAAAGCTGCTTGAAAATATACAAACACCAAGGACAGAGATCTGACAGACACCCGTATAGATTAAGAAGAAAGCAAACAGAATTTAGTAACATTGCCATTATAAAAGGATGAATACTTAATAAGCTAAACTATAAACTAAACTTACAGATTAAACAGATTTAAAATTAATTACAGTCAGTGTACTTTAAAAAAAACAGATACTGAAATTACATTAAAGAATAAATGAGACATTTACAGAGGGAAATAAAAAATAGAACCTAGGTTCCCTGCTCAGACTTGGAAAGACGTTGCTCATGAGCAGGTCATGATCTCTAAGAAATCTTTCTCATTATGTGAGAATTGTAAAAAATGTACAAGTAGCCCAACACATTCAATGAAGAAACAGTGATTAGTAGTTTTCCTGCCATACCAGCAGCTTACAACAATGGTTTCATCAGAAGCATCTTTATGAAAAATGTTAGTCTTAAATGAGTCATGATTAGTCAGAAACTGACCTTGGCAATGGATTTGAAGAGCCAACATAGACACATGCAGTAGAAGAGCAACAGAAATGTTAGCCCAAGGATGAAGGGAGCTGAATGACATAGTGACAAAGAACACGGAAACAATGAGGTAGTAAATATTCTTTGTTTCACTCTTTCCTGGCAAGGGCTGCCTTCCAGCTTTGTCCCAGTCTCTACCAGAGCTACAGGAAATGAGAAGTATGATGACTTACTGAAGTGAGGTGGACATACACAAGTTAATAGACCAGAATGAGATTGTCTGTTTTGATGGCGATATGGCCCCAATGATCAGAAAGAGGCAAATAATACATCCATTTTCAAAACAGACCAGAGGACACAGGGAATCACAAATCAGCCATTCTCACCTCAAACCCTTCAAAGACAGAACTAACAGAAACCATTTCAAGGCCCATGAATGCCAAAACAGGTGATGTAGATGAAAAAGTGGATGGATCTCCATTTAGAAGATTGATTGATTGTTCAAATTGTAACTAGCAGCCATATCTGAGGGACTTTCCTCAGGGCTGCTACAAGCACCAGTACTGATTAGAATCTTTACCACTGACCTACATTACAGGATGCCTTCTTGTCAAGTACGCAAAAAAAAATCAAATAGCACAAGTGCAATCCTGCACTTGGAACAGAGTAAGAGTAGTATATACAGTTGCAATGTACAGTTGCAGACAAGATTTTTGGTAGCAGCCCTGCAAAAAAAAGGACCTGGGAGTCCAAGTGGCCCTGAACACGACTCAGAAGCACACTTTTGCAACAGTGAAGGCCAACTGCACACTGGGCTGCATCAACAATAGTACAGCCAGAAGTTTAAAGTAATTAAGTGATTATTTTCATACTCATTTTGGCACTATAAAACTCCTCAGTACAAGACAGATGCTAACAAATTGGAGTGAGTAAAGCAGGAAGCCTGTAAGATGATTAGGGAGATGGAGCACAGGATAAGAGGCAGTGGAAACTAGGATGTGTCTCAGAGAAATCTAGGGAGGGAATTGCAGTGCTTCACTACCTAGGGGGAGTAGGAAAGATGAAGCCACACCCTTTAAGAGGTACATCACAAAAAGATAAGCAGCAATAACAAAAAACTGCAGTAAGGTAAATATTGTGTGAAAATGAGAAATAAAAGGGAAGAATTTGCAGAGAAAGGACAGAAAATCTCCATGGATACAGACTCTCCAAATTCCAGAGGTTAGGGCCATATGCAACTTCATGTCTGAAGGTAGCCTGTCACTGAGCAGGAGGTTGGGCTCTATCACACTGCGTGTGATTCCATTACTCTATCCTTATAGAACAGTCCCAGCTGTCTCTCAGTGCAGCAAAGAATGTCACCCTCAGCCTCTGTTGATTTCATTACACCTTGCCTTGTCTAGTACTCTTTAGAGACGAACCATTTTCTACAGAGATCTCCAGTGTTTTATTCTGATTATCCTGAATTTTTATCCTAAAACTTGAAAGTTTATCATTTATATGTATATTGTTTATCATCTATATAATATACATACAAATATAGAGTCTTCTCAATTCTCCTCCACTCGCCGTTCTATCTTTCTAGCTATCGTGATTCTCTGTAGGGGGAGGAGGAGGAGAAGAGAGTGTAGAGGGCCATGTAAGAAAATAAATTCTTACCTGAAGAAAGATAACCACCTGGTCCATTCCACCGGAATACTGGATCAATCAATTCTGAGTTTCGCAGGTGATTTGTAACACATAGAATATGTGGACTGCTGTGATCCAGCTTCACGTAAACTTTCACTGAAAAAAGTTTATCACTAGCATTAAATACTTATCACTGCTATCCTATCAGTGAGATATATAATGTTAAGACAGTAATTTCATTGTGTAGAGTTTGTTTTATTTCCCTTCCTAATGACATTCTGCAAACCATGTGCGTTCTTCAGAAGCATGAGATGCTAGATATTTATACTCTGGAGTACTCCAAACATGAATATACCATGCTATCCTAATGTCATTGAAAAGCCACAACCAGTATAAACTACTACATTTGTGGTCTAGAGAATCTAACTTAATAAGTGGAATTGAATCAAATATACAAATTACCATTTATTTTACCATGCCATTCATATTTCCTGCAGAGGGAAAACTATTTAGATATTTGATGCAGGAAGGATTTAACATTTAGGAAAACAGTTTTCACTTTTCCATTATGTCAAGTAGTAGTAAAGGCATCAGTTTTCTCTCCCCTTCAAGCATGATTGTTTCCTGTCATTAAAACATGAAAAACCTCTTAACATCACAGCACAGTATTAGACAGCTTAAACAGAATACAGACATAAACATTAACATTTGATACAGAAAAATACATTTATAATTTTGATAGTCTTAAGAACAGGAGGAATGTCCATCTCAGCTAATAAGCTTGTTACTGTGGCTTGTAATGCAGAAAACAGAAACGTGTATCTTTTTAACTGTATAATAGAATATTGTGGAAATAAACATCATTTGCAGGTGTTACTTCAGTTTTTAACCCAGAAGGGGTGGGGGGAGGAGGATATGTCCCAGTCCTTCTGATCAGAAATGCCTTGCGTCATATAGCATCTTTTATTATTTTTCCCCTTGCAAAGGCATGCTTTCATTTGTTTATGACATTAGTTCTGGGTGAGAAGAGCAGCATGATACAAGGAACAAGTGGGAAATTAAAGGATTATCCTTCAAGTGGAACTCACAAAGGGGAAAAAAAACTACACGGGTTTCTGAGCTCATCTTCATTCAAATGAAAACAAGTATTTTCAAAGTTTTAACCACAAATCTGAAAGTGTATTTTTCATTTTACAGTAGAACACAATTGTCACAAAGCAACTCTATGACCTGAAGTTCTGTTCTGAATGCAACGTAAAATGTCAGAGAGGTCTGCAAAAGGGAATATTTATCTAAAGGAATCTCACTGCTAAATGCCCAATTATAAGTTTGTTTGTTTCCCATGGCTGACAAAAGCTATTCTGTATGCACAAACTGCTTTTTGGTTATTTTTGTATGGAACAGTCTAAAAAACAACTTGTACTAACTTCCACATGTTAGTTAAGCCTGGAGAAATATCCAGCAAAACTGAATGTGCATCTTCTAGAACAGAACTTTATTTTGTCTCAGTTTTGTTCTCCTTTCTTAATCTCCTTTCAGCCCTGCTGAAACATACATGTTACTATTCTCAGGGTAGAAAAAAGAAAAGAATTGCACTTTGCACTGACTTTAGCTTAATGTTTCTAGGTATGCTATTAGTAAAGCTGAAAGATGGAGAAAACTAGGGGGAGGTGTATTATTAAAATCAAGTACACAATGTGCATTAGAGAGAGGGCAGTATAAGTAAGTATATGGCAATGAGGAACAGCCTGTTCTTTAATCTTCAGACTTTTTAACAATTGTTTTATTTATTAAGAAAATGACTGTATTATACAGTGGAGTTAGATACACGTGATTTATTAAGCAATTAATTATTAACGTTTCTTAATTGTTACTGTAGAATATAACATAAGACTCAGGTTCTGTGTACACAGAAAGTAAAAAGCAGCAGGAATATCTACATTGGGAGAAAGCAGTATTTTGGGGCAAAGATCTTACAGCCAGAATGATGAGTACAAAGAATGCTGTTGTTTTTAAAACAATTCTGGAAAATAATTGTCTTTGCTTTATAAAAATTGCAAGAATAAAAAAAATCAGTGGTAGGAATATGTGCTTTTGTGGCCTAAGTTACAGTAACATAGGGAAGTCAGTACAGAATTGTAATTAATTAAGGCATTTTAAATAATTAAGCAACAAGGAATACGATGGAGAAGGGCACTTCTGTGGTAGAAGGCGTTTAAATTATATTTAAAGAAAAATACCTGGAAATAAGATGGATCCCACTATTTTTAAGCTATTGCTTCTTGACTCTGCACTTCTTGAGTACTGAACTGTTAAAAGATAAAACAATTGCATCAACAAAACTACTACATTTCTCTGAAAAAGCAAACATGCTTCAGGTCAACGTACACCCTTTATGGACTTGTTCTTCAACAGGTATTAACTCTGTATTTGTCTAATGTCTTACACAGGGCACGCTTCTCATTTTTAGCTTTAAATATATTTCTAATTTTTACAAAAGAACTGTCACATTTTATATGAAGGCTCTCTATAATGAGGGTAATGGGATTATATACTGTCCATAAGGGGGATAAAATTTAGCTGCATTGTTACGATACACTCAATCTGTATGTTAGTCAATGTGTGTACTGACCACTAATGAGGTAACAAACATAGTTTCTGTTATTAATGTGATTTTCTTAATTTCCCCCATGAAATTAAAATATAAGCTGAATGGTTGTTTTAATTTGCATCTTCTACATTAAATAGAGATTTAAAAGACCTTTCATAACAATCGAAAAGCTTTGTAAGACTTGCAAGGCTTCTAAAAGAAAGCAGAATGATCTTTCAGTGTGCATTATCAGGTGGGCATTCTAGCACAAGTCAGATCTGAGTTTCTTCTACAGATATTCCATATATGCTGCAGAAAGCCAGCAGAAAGAGAATGCTGGCTAAAGACCTTGCAGTATTTTGTGTTCTTTGTCTCCACCTCCTGTTTAGAAAGAACATGGGTTACTGAGAGTTAAGGCATACTTGTGAGATTCAATTCCTTAGGGGATCTGGGAAAGCAAGTAAATATTAGAGGAATATAAAGTCTTGAATGCAAAAGATGGCAATAAAATACTGAGCATATAATTAGTAGCAATTATTTTTCAAAGATGGGCTAAATAGTTATGTGGCACCAGAACTGTGCTTGTTGCTAACTTAGATTCAATAGATATCAAGTAAAACCAGCAGCAGATACGCTAGCGAACTCATTTCCCTTTACAGCATTTGTTGGTACATGAGAAAGGCTGGGTCAACTCCCAGCTTTGCTTTGATATGCCTTGATTAGAACAATAATGGGAATTAATATGGGACCAATTCACCACATCTACAATGAAGCTGGTAACTGTACTCCCTTACCATGCATAGTTGCAATGGAAAACAGAAGGAAGTCGGACTCTTCAGTAATCAGGATAAGATAATCAAGGGAAGTTAAAAGAACTGCCTATTTTTGCCATTTGAGGATACAAGCAAACTATTCTATTCAAAATACTCATTGAGTAGAAAAAGAAAATTGAAAGAAAATAACAAGTAGTATCATCATATATGATGGATTTCTGAGGATAACAGTTTAATTTACTAATTTACTTCACAACATTGCTTTACCAAGTACCAATTCACAACTTTTTTTTTTTTTTTTTTGAGTAAAAACTTTTCAAATAACTTAATTTTCCCCAAAGACCTCCTAGAAGGATTGGAGAATTTCAATTATAAAACAAAACAGATTTGAAATTCTAACTGGAATATTTATATTGTCTTCCAGAACTCTACTGTACTGGAGCAGATATACATAGCTCTTCATGGGAAACAGTGATTTTTTACAATAATAATTTAAACCCAAAGATGGAGCTCTTGCACTGCTTACATAAATTAGAAAAAGTTCAAAGAATGTAGTTACTGAAGGAAAACAGTGTAAAAACTACTGAAATTACTGTTTTGGCATCATTAAGGACATCACATTTGCCTGCTCTTTCATGTGCATACGCTTCATTTGCGTGGCAGTCATTTCAGTCAGTAAGTGCTTCTGTCCATGTATGACTCTGACCTCAATATGCTCTTTCTCTCACTTCCTATACTGACTTGAAAATTTTTTTGAAGCCTTTTTTCAGGTTTCCTACTTGAATTCCTTTCCTCTCCTCCTAATCACTTTAAATGGCTCTTCCTCAGGCAGTCTCTAGCACAAATGATCTTCTCATTTTCACTCACTAGTTTAAGAGTGCACACAATCACTTTAAACTGATTCTTGTCACAGAAAAAAGTATTATGAGGTCATTCCAAAGAAAATATAGCAAAAACACAATAAAGATAGGACAAAATAAGAGCTTAAACTGCATTTTAATGTCATTGAAGACACTGTTCCATCTCCTCAAATTGCAACAGCACTTAAAAAGCAATGGAAAAAGCTAAGATTCATTCATTTTTTGAGAAAAATAAAGGTGATCTCTTTATTAATTCTCCACATAAGTTTTTTAAGCAGCCCAATGCACAGGGTGTGATTCTTCCTTGTATTGCATTCCTTACAGGCCTAACAAAAACAGATGAACACAGATGAAGAAAACTAGTTTTGTATCACTATCAGAAACAGAGAAGTCAAGTCATTCATCTCCAAGGCTGGGGAAAACTTCCCAGCTACCTGAAGAGCCATGCAAAGAAAACTGATTATTACTGGAATTCAAAGGAATTCATTTCCCTGTCTATAGTGATACATATGGTATCTGTTACCTGAGTATCATATCTGTATGTTATTCATCAGTGGACTCGAAAATCCTCTGGAGTTAAACTAAACAGCCTTCCTTCTAACTTACACCACAGTTTCTGCAGGGAGTTCAGTTTGAGCATAAAATGCTAACACTCTGTTTTCTTGCACTCAAAGTCTATCTGGCTGAACTATAAATTCTACCCAAGAGAAAAAGGACTCAAAGTAAGAGAAAGACGACATCCATGTATTTCTGGGGAGTTCTGTCTGCAGGGGAAAAGTCTCAACACTAGATCAGAAGCAGCAAATGGATTGTACTTGCATATATACAAAGCTCCCCTGCTCCTCCCTGTTCCATGAGGCATTACAACAGTGCCACGAAAAGGGGTCCCTTCTCACTGCTTGCCCAAAGGAAGAATCTGGTTAGGTTAATAATGACTACAGGAGCAGTGAGTTGAAAGGGAATGCCACTCTGCAGCTCTAAGTTTCACATGAAGTAATTCAACCATTTCATAAAATACTTTATCCTGACCGTTTCAGTCTTAAAATGAACATGATGGTAGCAAAATTAGTCATCTTCAGAATAGTTAATCAGAAAATGATATTTGTCTGAAAAGTGCAATGGCAGGAAGTAGGGTTTAAAATGAGACTTAGCTAATTAAACAATGTACTAATGAGTAAAATGCTGTACTGCTAGAATGTGCAATTGGCATAGTTTCAATTCATTTATAAATGAAACTTCTAAAATTGCAGAAAGATATTTAAGCTATGGTGCGCGCTGATTTTTTTTTAAAGTAATTATGTTTGGAGGTAATTTTTGTAAAGAAATTTCCATACCAAAAGAAGATATAATCAGCAATACTACTTATCTTTACCCAGAGGTGCTAATAGACAAGTGTTTTCCTATATCCAAGTATTTTAATGATAGCTGGCATTTCCAAGCTGCCTACTGATGGAAAGTGCTGTGTAAGGAAAACCACACAAACTCCAAATGCAAGCATCAGTAAACAAAACGAAAAATAGTTTGAAAGGTTCATATTCTTTACATCAATCTGAATCCAGAGTATAACAGTAACTTCTCAGTGATACAAAATTAAAATTAATGCCTTTTTTGGAATTGATAATTTCTATTCTGCCTATTAAAATCTAAGATAGAGGAAATAATATATCAGCAATCTGATGAATAAATAAATAAATACTAAAATGCTGCTAATTATGTTTTCTTGTTTGTTGTTTGTTTGTTGTCAGAGTAGAACCTAAGAGCTAATCTTGCTCATGGATAAGTCCTCGGAATGGAATTAATGAAACCTGGCCATAAGCAGATTGGCAAACAAAAAGATCTGGCACCTAAACACACTGATGTCCAAAATGAAAAATCCGGTTTAATATTATCAGAAAGCCCAAAACGACTCGTTACGTTCAGACTTCAAAACCTCACAAAGGAGCAGGCTGCCCAGACAGGCCGTTTCCTTCTGCGGAGACACTCGAAACCCGCCCGGACCCTTTCCTGTCGGGAACCCGCTTTGGCAGGGGATGGACTCGCTGATGCAGAGGTCCCTTCGACCCCTACCGGTCTGTGACTTCAAGGCAATCCCAGTTTTAGCATCACGGCCGTTCAACCAGATTTCCCAATAGGTGTCAGCTGACAGCTGCGATCACGCGCGCTGGATAGGAGATCAGCAGGATCGCTCCCGACAAGTGCAGTCTTGGTGCCCTACCACAGAACTACTTCTGTTCTTCAGAGCTGATGGCACGGAGATGCGGCTCTCAGCCAGGTCCCCGAGCCGCCAGCTGCCTCACCAACCTGCCTGCGCGCAGGCACACGGCTCCTCCCGCGTGCAGAAAGGAGAAACACCTCTCCCCTCCGCACTCACTGGTCGCTTTTGAGGAAAATAACCCTTTAGCTTTCTACCGGTGCGTGTAGATGGGCTGTGAGATTTTGTCACCGTACGGTGAAGGCGCACGGTACCTGCCGAGACCGCCTGCAGCAGGACGATGAGGAGGCCGAGCATGAGGCGGCCCGGCCCGCACATGGCGGCCGCCGTTGCCCCGGGGCGAACACGCGCTCCTCCGCCGGCCGAGCGCGGCGCCGCCATCGCCCGCCGTGCCGCTGCTCGGCAGCCGTTAGCGACGCCCGCCGGGCTGCGCGCCGGGCGACCCGCCGCGGGGAAGTCTGCGGAGGGGCTTTCCTCTGCGCTCCGGCGAGAGAAAGCGTGCTGCTTTCACATCCTCAGACCCTGGAGAAACATCTGCCGCGGCGGCAGCTCCAGCTAAGAACGTCCCGCTGCCGGGCGGTACGCCGTTAATCCCATCAGCGCACCAGCGCGTTGTCCCTGAAGAGACACGTAAACAAACAAACAAATAAATAAAAGCGAGGAAGTTTCCGTTGCAAAAGTGAACTCTGTGCATCAGTGTCATGAGAGGTACCGCCCGGTTCTCATTGTGTTGCTTCATAAAGTGTCTGGAATCCCGGTGTGCGGGCATGCTTCTGTGGTATACCAGTGTTTTTAACTTGTAGTAGGTTAGATAAGGCAGTGTTTCAAAGAATAGGGGAGGGAAAGAATGAGCTGCCTGGGAAGCAAGCAAAGTCTGACAGGAAAATTTCACTACTGGAAAACTGTGGCTGCAGTGCCAGAGATGAAAAACAGCTGCTCACATCAAAGAGAGACTGCTCCACAGGGACAGTGGCACTGAGACGTGGTGGTGGTGGGTCAGTGGTTGGACTGGATGGTCTTAGAGGTCTTTTCCAACCTTAATGACTCTGTGAACCTTAAACCCTTAAGAGTACCAGCACAGAAGATGACCAGCTCCTCCATGTGCTTCCTTCTATCACAGGCCACTTCAGGAAACTGACAGCAGAAACCAGCCTTAGTTGGTTTAGTTGGCAAATTTGCTTCCCAGGATAATTTAGAGAGAATCTCTGCCAATAAAATCTAGGATAAAGCTTTACTTGCATTTCAGTCTGTGAAATGAAGGCAACAACACAGGACTCATCCTTGGAATGGCATCTTGTGCCTTACCTGAGTCCCACAGCAAACAACTCCAAAGGAGAACCACCATAATTCTGCCTTATGGAACATAACTTTTTTATTACTCTAAACCTGATCTGTTGTATATGTTAGCCCCATGTCTGATCTCATTTTAGTCAAGAGCAATTTAGCAATTCAGGGAAGTTATATCTTGTGACAGTGGCATAAGTGAATTTATGCTGACAGAGCCATGACGTAAAGGTCCTACAACATCAGTTGTATAATAAATGTAGTTTATTTTTTTCTCAAGTGTTGGACCTTTGCAGATGGCACTGAATTCAGAGTAGCAGTATAATTCAGACTGCTTTTTTTTTCCTAGATTGCTAAATGAAGACAATAGGATTTGGAATTAGGAAATGAGTGCAGCATATTCTGATCTGCAACATTAGTAGGTTTGCCAAGCAATAAAGCAAATGGCAAAGCTACAGAATTAAGCTGCATAGGATGCTGTAATGTCTATGGGATTTATTTTTTCCAAGTAATAATTTTTCAGTTTTATGAATTTTTATTTTTCTATGATTGTGTTTGATAAATTTTAAGTCAGTGTTTCAGTTTATTTTCAGATTTGTTCTCTAGATATCAAAAGAATAGTTTATTTTTAAAATGAATCAATGAAAATACCAGATAATCCTTAGTAAAATTGAAGAGGTCTTAATTTTGCCTCTTCTAGGTGAATAAGTAATTGGCAGTGTCATTTCAAGTTGTTATCTGCATCTTTGTGAAGGGTGAGGTTACCGTGATACATGTGAACCATCTTTCACACTAGGAGACATTTCATTGTGAAGTAGCTTCCATAGTCACCAAGCAACAAAAAGACTCACTGTTAATTCAGCAGCTCCATTCTTTTTGCACCTTTTTGATAAATCCCTTTCTCAGGAAGGAATTCACCACTTAAGCCACTGCTTTGCTCTGTATGAATTCTTTGTACTGATGTTCTGGAAGATGACCCTTAGTTTTACTGTGGTTTGTTGGCTAAGACTTCAGGAACTTGAAGAAACAGGAGTAAGCAGACTCTTTTGAATTTGCTGCCACATAAGAGAAATAGAAGAGAATGACCATGGTTTCTCATGGAGCTGAAAGGCGGGCTGCCATGTCAATTGAACCAATTCACAGGATGCATCACCAACAGTATCAAAATCTGTTAAAGAAGATGCGCGTGCCATTTGTGAAAGGTCCTGAGAACAGACATGACTTTGCCAGCTTTGAAGAGAAAGACAGCAATTCTTTCCTTAAATTCCATCCAGACACCCCTCCGTTTGGGCCGAATTACCCCTTATTCCCACACCGAGATGATGTGACTTTAGTAGATCCCTGCTCAGGCTTTGTAAGTGCAGGAGGGGATGCTGAGCTGCAGCCTGCTGTTGGAAAAGTTATTGAATCCCTGGTGGACTACAGTGATGTGAAACCTCACCAGCGAGTCCCCACAGCAGGAAAGGGAGTACGGACTGCTCACAGGAGGCATATGGTCCTCCTCGAGGAAACCAGCCAGGACCGACGGTGGAATTCCAGGGCTGTGCCAGCTGCTTCGATCAGGGCAAAACTCAGAGGTAAAGCAAGCTACTGTTTTTATTTCTTAATCGCTAAAGAAAAATCATTGATGTTAAATAAATACAGGTTTTTTGTGAACACCATCCCCTAAGGTTCTGAAAGAACAACCGTATAAAATATATTTGTGCTGGATATTTGAGCTATTTAAACTGAATGTAATCCCTGCTGTAGAATGTCTGAGTCACAGTCCTTGCTGCAGCAAAGAGGTATAGTCAGCAAATTCTAATAAGCATTAAAAAAAAAAGAAAAAAGAAAAATCTTTGAAATAAATAACATTTTAAACAATGTACTTAAATTGTAAAGTTATATATGATAGTTGAAATGAGCATCTGTTTTAAAATAACCTGAAATAACAAATAAATGCAAAGTGTCAGGAAATCCCCTGAATATTTCTGTGTCTTTTAGCATTTCCTGAAAAATAGCTGTGCAGAGCATTTAAGACATTTGTCCAATATGTAATCGATGGGAGAACAGAAGTCCTTCAAGACTGCCATCACATCTTTTTTCAATTACGTATTACCTTCCTAATGTACTTCAATATGTTACACCTGAAGTTAGGTCTGTTCAGTTCACATTAATTATGTGAAATTATCAAAACTAAAATTCACTCTTCCTAATGGCAAAGTTTCAAAACCATAGTCTGTTGATAATTCTGGAGAGAATGAATATCTTTCCAGGGCTTCTAAGGTCAGACTCTATTAGTGGTAAGAAGTGTGGTTGAACCGTTCTAAAGATTAAGCCAATTCCCACAGTTTTCACAGAGAAATGCTCATTACAACCACAAAAATAAATAAATAAATAATGAGAACTCAGACAACACAAGAAAGTCTCATAGATAAAAAGAGCATTACTCAGAACAAGATAAAGAAATGTAAATAAGCTATTTGCTCCATTTTACAGAGATAGCACGCCATCTTTACAGTTTACTGTGCTTTATCCATATTATTGTCACCATGAAGTCTCTACATACAATATATTCTAGCACTGTTTTTGATTCCTTGTTTCCATCTTAGAAATTTTCACCTTAAATCCTTTTAAGCCAACTGAAGTCATGTAATGGAAGCCAAAAGAACCCGAGAAACCAGAGAATAAAATAATAAGACCTGATAATTTTCTTTTTTTTCTTTCTCATTCCAAATTATTTTTGCTATTTGCTCTCAGTGGTCTACTTAAATTAGATCTAAGAAGTCAATCAGAAGTGATTAGCTTTTTCTTCAAGCCTATGGAGAAGCAAAAGGAAGGAGGAAGTATGATAATTTTTCTGATAATTGATTTTTCCAACACAAAGAAAAGCAAACAGAGACAGAGATAGAAATACTGTGACAGATTAGACACTCTTGAAATGAACTCAGACAAAAACTGAAACCATATGTCATCAAATCAGTTATCTGTTTTACAGTTAAGAAGGTGGTCCAGAATGGAGAGTAGTTCCAGAAGTCAGATAGAAATTGCTTCCTGTTGATTTACCGTTGGGTGAAGTTCACTATTAGTGTGAAATACCAACTTCAATAAAACTATCTGCAAAAGTTAAACTTAACTTGTGCATGAAATCTTGAAACAGAGAGAGAGCAGCATAAATTTATTAGAGATAGCCCTGCAAATGTTCTTCCAAACCTAGTATTCATTTACAGGTTTTCCTATGATGCTGAATGTTGACTACAGATGTGTAAATATAGATTAATTAAAAAAAAAAAAAAAGTAGTTGAGCTTTAAGATACTGTTTTCAATGAGACTGCATAAACAAATTCCAGATTTCAGCTATTCAAGTCAGAGGCCAACTAGCAACCCACAGGCACATGATGCTTTGAAAGTGCTAATGTTTCTAGACATCAGTCCTGAGACATCATTCCCCAGCATAGTTGTTTGGGGAAGTTGTGCTAAAAGAGAGATCAGTCAGGCATTTTGCAAGCAAATTCTGCACTAAGTTTATCCACTGTGCTGGTGATGAGTGGAACAAAAAAAACAGATATAGAAGCAGCCTTTGAGATGCGTGAGTTGAGGTATTTAGAAACATCTCCAATGTACAGGAGGTCTTCTCTTGTGAGAAAATGTACAGCTATGGCTTTGGCAATCAACACTGGTAACTTTAAATGTCCCCACGCAGCCTTTTGCAACTACTGGGAAAAGCAAGTTAATGGAATGGTGAAGCTCTGTGATACCGAAGCATGATGAGAAGCTGGCAAAGGAGGTTGTTTTATGACTTCAGAATGTAGCAGAGAAGGAAGATTGCTTAAAAACTATTCTTCATGGTTTTTTTGCTTTGTGTAAGGAAGATGCGTGGTGCTTCAAGACAAACTTTTTAAGTTGACTGTTTCCCTGTAGATTCCCCTTCTATAACTCACATGGCAACTGAATTTTCCCTTTTTCTGCAGTTTCAAATTCCTTTGTACAGTTCAGGATTTGATCCTCAGGTGTATTTGTAAATGCAAACCTGACAATGATTTTCTGACTGTAATTATTATTCTATTTGGTGTGGGTTAACTTAGAGACAGGTTTGGGGGTCACAGAAGGAATCAGGACGTCTGATAAGACTAATATGAAGCAGAGATTACTTCATTTTTGTCCCTTCTGAACACTGATGCAACTGTAGATAAAGTTTTCTTCAAAAACATGGAAATGGGAAACACCATAGGGTTTATCTGTAATTTTGATACTATTCTTTATAAAAAAAATAAGTAATTTGCTCCCACTGCTACGAGGGTGGCCATATCTGGATCTGTCCAAAAGCCCAGCTACTCCAGTATTCCATCCAAGACGGGATAATTAGCAAACACGAGAACCAAGAAAGCATGTCACTGTCCTTCTGCAGGCTGTTTTCATATCATGTGGACCAAGAATTCTTGAATAGAAGGTGGCGTGCTTGTAGTTAGCAATCATGAATTCCTAATTTGTCTTCATAAATATGAGCTGCTTTCTGAACACATAACTTAACTCTCAACTATTTCCAGATGATTTATGAAGCAACAAAGGCCTAACCTCAGATCTACAGGTCTCATTATCAGACATCTCTATCCATCTTGAGCATTGATCATTCACCCTTCTTTAATCAAATGAATTGTCTTTATTCCATTGTTGCTTTAAGAGGTTTTGTTGAAGAATTTTATGCAGGACTTGTTGAAATAATTGTGGTCACATTGTTCTTCTTTCCTTTTACAGGGAAGATTTCTCTTCACAATGCTTCCACCCATAAAACAAGAAGCATTTTTATCCAGGATTAAGCTGCACGTTGAGTATGAGACGTGTCAGCCTCTTCTACCTTTCAAAAGATGAAATTAGAAAATGACTTTAGTCAATACTTGTGCTGCCTCATTTTGTAATATTGGTACCTGGTAAGACAGAACCTGTTGCCAGTCAACAGAAAGAAAACTAATCAAAGGCAGCAACATGAATGGTGAAAAGCAAAAAAAAAAAAAAAAAAAGCAACTTAAAACCTACAAAAATAACAATTCAAGCGTACTCATAAATAACATGAACAGCTCAAAACTTTTTCAGTATATGAACAGTCAACTAAAAATGCAGATCAGCCTACAGTAGACTCAAGAATATCTCCCTGTAGGAAAAAGTGCTATTGAGTAGTTACCCATAGCACAACAAAATATATAGCAGCATACTGTCTAAGAGGCTAATAGGTCATCCAGAAAATAACGCATAAAAAAACAAAATAACCTCTTCAGGGCTGAGTTCTGTTGCATGAATAAATACTGTGGTTTCGCTAAGGGTTTGATACTTATCATCTCTGCAATTATATATTTCACTGTGCACTTGTTTTTCATGTGCCCCATAGCAGAGAGGTTTGTTTATTTAACAACTTTGTTCTTTACCTGTTGCTTCTTTTGTTGTACATTTTCAATCTGAACTGTTGGTATTATGCTTATGTTAAG